CACAACAGCGAAAGAGAATTTGAGCAGAATAATGAAGACGACGGAAATCCTGATTTAGTAAAAAGTATTTTTATTAGCAAAAATAAGAGTATTGTCGGAATGAAAAACCAAATCAAAAAAGAGAAAAAAGGTCTTCTCAAATTATAATAACTCATTTAGCAGGAGTTAAAAGAAACTGCACGCAATATAAAGGAGCTTCTAGAAAGTTGAGAATTGTTTTTCAATGCTAAAATGATACAATCCATTGTAGAGTGTACAAATATTTATATTGGAAAAATATTACGACAAATGATGTGGAAATTAGAGCACATTTTGGGGCTTTTTACATCTGTACGGCTTGCATAAATCGTCACATAAAAATACGCAAGATTTGTGGGCTACTGAAAATTGAAACAGGGCATTGCAATTTTATGGAACACAATGTCATATAAAAGATTTAAATTTTCTTCTTAGGGGTGTCTACGGTTAGACAATGTGACCAATCGTGAAGCTCGGAAAAAATTGGATACAACTCGGCGGCTGCGAGAGAATTTTTTACCGAATTTCAATGAAAACTGCCAAAAGATATACCTTATTGGTAAACATGGTTACTATCAAAGAAAAATTATAGAAATTTGGAGGGTGGTGTTCCTTTCATCAATATACACAGCAAACCCAGCCAAGTATGGAATCAAAATATTTGCCGTAGTATATTCAAGAACTTTCTGCAGCTATAACATGGAGATATACGCAGGACAACAGTCGGAAGATCCATTTAGAATTGAAAATGCGCCATTTGAAATTACAAAACGCCTGTGCACCCCTTTGTTTGGGCAGAAATGTAACAATGGATAATTGGTATACAAGTTATCCTCTAGCAAAAGAACTTTTGTTCAAAGAAGTTAACTATTGTAGGAAACCCTGAACAGAAACAAGGCTGAAAATTCCCACCAAGTTCGTCCAAACAAAAACTAGGAAAACGGTTATTTATTATCCTATATTTGGGTTCTAAAAGAACGCGACAACTAGTATCGTATGTGCCTAAAAAATCAAAATGTGTAGTTTTGTTATCTACAATGCATTGCGATGATGCCATTGATGAAAGTGATGATACGAAGAAAGCCCAGAAATAATTTACTTCTCATAATGCAACAAAAGGTGGTGTAGATAAAGTTGATGAAATGTTATCGTTATATTCGAACATCTCGAAAAAACCAACAGAATGGCCGATGGTCGTCTTTTACTTGTTGAACTGTATTAAACATTGCTGCAATAAATACCAGAGTTGCTTTATTCCCAACAAAGACCCCTCCCTTACAATATGGAAATAGTAGAAAATTATTAAAAAATTTGGCTATATCTCTTATACAGTGCCTTACATAGAGATTACGAAAAATATGTCAATGTTTCCTAAAGTGGTTCATGAAAGCATCGATAATGCGACTTCTAGTGTATCAAAAGAACGCCCATCAAAGAAACCAAAACTCGACAAAGGCCGACGTGCTATGTGTCCAAGATCCAAAGACAATAAAACTACAATTTTTTGCAAAATATGTGATAATTTTTCATGTAAAATTCATTCTTCCTATGTTTGCCAGAAGTGTATGTTAGCTTCTGATCTCCTGATTTGGTATGGTAATAATTATTTTATTTTGAATGGATTTTTTTCTTAAATATTGAAATAAGTTTTATTAAGTAAAAAGAAGTATATAGTTTCTAAATGAAGTATTGCAATTATTGTTTATAATCAAATGATTTCTATAAAATATATAACACATTTTCCTAATGAAACTGATTGGGGTGACGCTGTCACCCCGTGTGATCTCCAACGTCAGTGTTGGGTGCGCGCCTTCCGCCGGGTTAAATAAACTTATAAAATTTTGTATCAGATTACAATATTCTCCTCCCATACATTTAAACTTTCAAGACCTAATTACAGATCAAATAATTTTTGGGGAACTTTTAAAATGAACTGAGTAGAATACTTATTCAGAACACATGTTCATAGGATTGCCAACTGACTGCTATTTATCGTATATTTAGAGGAAATTCAGATTTCACACCAAATTACATGCATTAATGGCTAACATATATAAATCATACGTTTGTAATTTGCAGTTTTTGTTATATCCTATTTCTCTCATGCAGACAAGTTCATACTGCAGTTTGTGGAAATCAAAGATATTTTCAAAGTTGTTACATTATAATAAGCTTAAATAATATGAAGTTTATATTCATTTATACAGGGTTATTACAAAAGAAGTATACAATAATTTATGATGAAAGAAATAAAGCACAAAGAAAGATATCACAAAATTATTAGAATATGTGCACGCAGGTACGTTTTTATTTCAGCATTCCACATGGTCCCTTCTTTTCAGAGCTGACCTTCACTGCAGGTTTTCTTGATATGGTAAGTCTTTGGTTGATGCTAGAACAGTGACTTCTGTTCTTCAATTAGACCCCCACACAAAACTTGCAAGTCAAAGTAAAGATTACCTTTGTGAAAAATTTTCTTAAAGATGGATAAAAAATGATGCCATTGATATAAGGCTAACATAACATAACCTTTTTTACTTTAATTTAGGGATACATGAAAGAAAATATGTTATCTTTCTATTCCTTCATCATTTAGATAAACTGTAACAAGAGTCATAGCCACTTTACACTATGACTCAAATGGCTTACATCCCATTTGGCAGAAACTGGACAACTAAGCAGGTATGTGCAAAGCCAGCGATAGGCACTTTTGCTGTCCTGTACAATCTTTTGTGGTCCTGCTGCCATGCACCCTTCCTAAATTCTAGAATTTTGCTAACTAGTGCCTAATTTCTAAAAATTTTGCTGCCTGTGCAACTGCACCGTCTTTACCGTCAGCCCTGGACATAAACCATGCGACTAAAAGAGTGTGCACACATGATATTTCTAATTACTGCAATAAGCTTACAGACTTTCTACAAAACTTGATAAAAGATAATAATGCACTTTTATAAATAATACTCTATTACTTTTACAATAACTCAGTATATTTAATCCAAATTTCTCATTTATAAGAAGGCTATAAGCTGCCATAATAAATTACTTGAGAATTATTACCTCAGAATAACAGCCATTATGAATTTAATACCTGATGTATAACTAATTTTCCTGCAACAGGAGAAATTTTAAATAATTATGCTCTTATGGAAAAAGTGATTAATACAACAATCCCTTAACATTAATTTATGCAATACTTCAACTACTGCATATAACAATTTACAGTTTTTAGAAAAATGAATTTACTTAATATCTGACAGTTGTAATTTAATTAAAGAAGTTCAACATACTACCTTATTCGCATGCTGACAATTAATATTACCAGAAAGTTTTAACACTGTTATTCTCAACTTCTTTATTTCACCTCCTTCTCATATTATGTCAGAATGCTATCCTCCAGGTCACTTCATAAATTTTATTATATGCAGAAATTTTATTTTAGTATGATATAAAGATTAGCATAAAATTGATGTTTTTTGTATTTAATGAATGCAATTAACCCTTTCCAGAGGGACATCCCATATATGCATTCCCTACGAACATCTTTCACTGGCAGGCAGCCCACCCACACATCATTGGAGAATGCGCTGACGTGTGATGCATATATGCATTTTAAGCTGACCCATTTTTTAAAGAACACTAGATGGTGTAGTATGTCCATTACTTTCAAAGATATCCCTTCAAATCCCCCCCCCCTTTTTTTTTTTTTTAATCTTCCTACTATGTAAGGTCATTTTTGGTTACTATGCGGGGTTCTAGTATGCTTTGCCTTGCTTTTATTGCTTAATTTCATGTACTTTCTTGTTTATTTTGGAAAGCCTTGACATCAGTTTATTATGGTGACCAAGCATTATTTATCAGAAGGAGGATGTAAATCTATGGTAAAAAAGCCAACTAGTGACATGGATGAAAAGTGATTCATTTTCTTAAGAGTTAAAGTGCAATATTTCTAACAATTCTGATATGGACATTTTATCAGAGACTGAGTACCTGCCTTCCATTTCCCGTGAAAGATTTTGCTATTTCTTCTTGTAAATACTCTTTTTTGTATCTTCTTTATTAATTTTAAAGTTATTTCATGTATTTTGTCAATTAAAACTTTGGAATAATTTGAATAGTGCTTCTGGAAATTATTTTTCAAATAAAGCAAAATTTTTTAATATTTTCATGTAAACTAGAGAAAAAACATTATTTTAACATTATTAAATTATTAAATTATAATAATGACAATTTTAACATATATGATAGCTTAAGTTATAATTTAAAATACCAAAAATTATGATGTTAGGAATTAAAATTCCCCCCCCTCTAAAGTTAAGGCTTAGCAAAGCAAAACTCATCCTATGAGATGATTCCTTTCGATTCCCATCCATCCTGAGGAATGTCTTAAACAAAGGTGTACCATCACAAAAGGGTTAAAAATTTTTCTACCGGTGTCTTTTCATTAAACATCTAAATTTAAATCTTTCAGCCCTTGTGATATCATGTGATTTCAAACATACCTTAGTTATTCTTTGCACAGTTTTTGTTCTACAGTAATATGTGGTTGAACTATTTCCTCTGAGTGGCGGAAATTCTATACCAGAGAACTCTTTGATGTTCTTTAAAAAAATTTTAATATTTTGATTTCTAAAATAAGAATGTGCTTCCCCACCCACTTAATATTAATTAAAAGTCAGTTTTTATAGCAATTAATATTTGGAAGACTTTCCATATTTTTGTAAAAAACTTATTTTTAAAATGAAAAAAAATTATGTTCAATTTCCACACTTTATGAAAATGCATTTAAGATCAAATCTGAAAACCCAGCAGACACAACTGCTGACTTTGCATGCAGTTGCTTCTATTATAATCTCAGAATATTGATTAAAATCTTTTTACATTCATAGAAAAAATATTCACAAGCAAATAAACAAGAAAGCCTTACTACGTATTATGTAAAAATAATTCTGTTTTAACAAATTAACAATGGAAAAACTAGATAATTAAATTTTAAATATCTAATATTTAATTTACTTAAAAGCAGTTAATTTATTGCAGCTGCAATTACATACAGTTGTGGTATTATCAGCTAACTGTTAGCAGCAAATGAAGACAGCATGTTGTTCTTTGTTGATATCTAGATCTAAATTAGTATGTTAAATATAATGGAGTTTCTTCATTTGGATTAAATGTATCAATGTACATATTTTCTCTTTTATGCATTCTACGGACATGAGATCGTAGATTATCTCTACGAGCAGATCGATAACTACAGTGAGGACACAGATGAGGTTTTTCACCTGTGTGCATTCTACGATGCTGAATAATCTTTTTTAATTGGACACTAGAAAAATTGCATAGATCGCAAAGGAAATGTTCATCATTCCGATGTTTTTTCATGTGTTTTTGCATCTCACCTTCAGTAGCACGATCTTTACCACAAATCTTACAACTTAACTTGAGAGTGAAAGTTTCATTTCCTGAAACATGGACCTTCTGGTGTTTTTTCAGAGCTTTGTAAACAGTACAAGAATAAGGACACAATGAACACCTATATTCTTCAGCATTATGTCTATGGCGCTGAGGAAGAGCTTCAGGTTTATGCCGTCTTTTCCCACAAGGGTGCACACCATCAAGTAATACATGCTTTTCCATATGCTTATCTAGTTTATCTCTCCTCTGAGATGAGTATGTACATGAAGGGCAATTATAACGCTTATTAGTTACATATTTTTCTTTTGAACTAGTTTTCTTCGATTTATTTTTCTGAAATTTGGCATGCTGGCTTTTAATATGTTTTTTCAGAGATGCTCTATTTTTTAATACAATTCCACATTCACCACAGTCATAAGCAATACAAGGATCTTCTAAACCATACTGTGCTGTATCTATGATAAGTTTTGTATCTTCAAAACTAGTATCATCCATTTGATCAGAACATATATCTATTGAAGAGCCTATTACAAAATGATCTACATCTAACTGAGAATCTATATGATCATCAATCACTACTTCATTCTCTACATTAGAACCTACTACAACTTCTCCTCCTTCAATTATATCTTCCTGCTTTATCATTGTGTTAGGTACAAGTATTATTTCTGCATGTGGATCTTCATTACCAGTTTCAACATTTTGTTCCACTATTAATTCATTTGAAACTCCTACTGCATCGTGAAAAAATAATTGATTCACATGATTGGAATCAAGAACAACTTCTTCTATTTCCTGAGTTTTCATGGTTATATATCCAGAATGATCCACATGATTATCAGATATGATAAGTGAATGATCACTCATCATTTTTGAAGGATTACCTATAATGAGAAAAAATATATAGCATCATTTTTTTAAAGATTACATAAGTTCTCAGATACAAACTCATGGAGGAAAAAATATTCAATAAGCCAACAAATTTACTGTCAATTGGCAAAACACTATTAATCCAAAGAAACCAAAACAGAAAAGGCTAATGATAAAAAGCCACATGATATAATTGCATTATTTACATACTTTAACTTTTTTTTCATATCAATTAAAATCAAATAATAGAAAAAAAGTTTGTATAATATATGATCTTTGTCTCTTCTTTGCAGTATTTATTATTTTTTTATTATTATTTTACATGCTTCATAAAAATATGAAGTTGGGGAGGGGGGTGACCTGAAATACCTTACACGAAAACTAATAATATGCAAGAATGTTGCTGAATAAAAGATTCTGCAATCTCCAATAATACAAAAACAATTTGTTTTTTCTGTTAAATCTTAATAATTAATTAAGCTAGATTCTTAGATGTAAACAACTCCCAATCTGATCTTTTCAAACAAACTGTGTGATTTTTTTGTATTTTAACATTATACAGTAAAAACAATATAAAGCAAAACATTAAAACATACATAAATCACAGAATTCATACGAAAATTCATGAAGTATGATATTGTATGTAACTGGCAGACTTTTAAACTACATTTCACTAATATTTTTAATACATTATTTTATTTGAAATAATTAAACTTCAATAGCAATGCAGAATCAAGCAACTGAATCTTGATCTACATATCTGTATGAGATGCCTTTAGACTTGGTATTTATTAAAATGTAACAAATAAATATAATAAAAATGAAACCAAATAGCTTTTATTTCATGTGCTACTTAAAAAACAATGAAACATTCACTTACATTGCTCATTATATTCACATTTCATGCACTATTTAAAATCTCTGAAATAGATTCAATCACACTGCTTATATTTTGTTTACTTATATAAGTAATTTATATATATAATGCAACTGAAAGGCCACATGAGGACATATATTCCTTTTCCAGCAAATAAAAAATTAAAAAAAAAAAAAAAAAAAAAAAAAAAAAAAAAAAACCTATTAGCCTGAGAATTTCATGATACAGTCAGAAGTTGTTAATCCGGACTCGTCGGGGCTTCGGCGATTCCGGATTATCGATTTTTCCGGATTATAGATCATCAGTTTAAATCTGGTAAGATGGCATGCAGAAATTATAAAATTAAAAATATGAAACCGTAATTTATGAAATAAAGAAAACACTTATGATTTAAGGGTCTCAAAATTTACAAAAAAAAAAAAAAAAAAAAAAAAAAAAAAACTTAATATTTATTTGTTTACTTTATTAAACATTTCTTTCAATGTAAGTTGTTTAAGTTGCTTCGTTTTTTATGTGATAATACATTCTCTTTAATTCTATAAACAGACATAATTTCTTGTTCATTTACAAAGTTCCGCTGTTCAAGTCCTATAATTGCTGTGTCGAGAATACCGACTAATTTGCCAATCGAAATTTTTTCGTTTTCAATAACCTCTGTCACTTTCTTCACTATCGGAAGCGAATTATAATGACGAGGAATTTGATTTAAACCATATCAAAGACGGAGTACATCGAGATGAAATACTACATCTAGTAAGGAATTATAAGCCAAATAAAATAAAAACATCTGCCCTGAAGATAAGGATAGTGCTGACAGATCAACTTCCAATTCATTGCGCGCCGCCGCGTTAAAGATAAACAAAGGATATGCCTTTATCCATTTTTTGCAGCAATTCCACTTTTTGTTTAATGGACATACTTTCGCTTTGTAGATCCTTTACATATTAGTAAATATATATCAGAAATTCTATTTGACATAATAGAAAGTTCAAGCTTACTTTTATAAAATTGCTCTAACAGTCTGCAAAAAATAATAAGCCGAATTCAATTCGAAGATTAAGGAACAACGCAATCTGCAACATCAACTGAATTAGATAATTTTAGCTTAGCTTATACCGTCCGTTATACATTAAACGCACATTCGCAAACGTATTCTGCGCACGCGTACACACATATTCGCAGCCGTAAAGGTCTTACGCGCATGCGTCAAGAGGATGCACGCGCAGAAAGTTTGTAGCTTTGAGGTCCGGATTATGGGTGTCCGAATTAACGACTTTTGACTGTACATATAAACTTGCATGCTTTTTTTCAGTAACACATACAACACATGTGGCAGACAGATGCATAATGCACATGCATATTTCTGATACTGTATAACTGAAAAATGGATTTGCATCAAATTGTTTCTCAATATTTTTATTAATTCATATTGCATTTAAGCAGAAAGTATATTCAGAACTACATTTTGAACTTTTTGCATGACTGACCTTACATGCAGTATTAGTATTGTTCAACATGTAAAACTATTTATAGAGCACACTAGCAGTAAATATAATATGTTGAAATAAAGTAATTGTTTTTTGTTTTTCCACAAAAATATATCTTAACAACAGATGAACAAAATCTTACTGCATGACTGATAATGAATAAATACTGTTATAATTTTGAAGTCAAATTTAAGCCTTCTTGGGAAAAGTTTTGGAAACAATTTCTGTATCTCATATGAAATTACTACTCCAGAGAATTATCATTTTGGCAAAAGTTAATCATTAACTGAAAAGATTATGAAGAACTCTGTTAGTGAAGTCTTAGGTAGAATACTTAGTCACTGTGCGATGGAAAAAAATCGGGAATGAATTTTAAATAATTTTAAGAGCCCAAAATTGTAGGAACTGAGCAGCAACTATTCTAGCATGGATATAAGACATAGTACCCATACTGCAGTTATATATCTATATAAATTGATTAAAAAATTTGAATCAGATGAAAGTATTATTTTGTCTTTTATATGATCAGCAGTATATATCAGTAGTAGCCATAGCACGCTGCACAAAAATCACACTACTGAAAGTTACTGTTGCAAACCTTGAGGCATGAATATGCATAAAATAAGAATTTAATATTACATATGTCTGTGGTCCTATGCTTGCTGGGTTTTCAAACTGACCCTCTTTCCAATGACATGCGTCTAACAGGAATGGAAATTAAAATTTTAAGTGCTTATTGATTTCATAAACAAATCAAATGAAACTTGCAAAGAATCCTCTAAAGGGCATTTCATTGATAAATGGGAAATAGTCATAAAAATGTGATGCATGCGAAAATATTTGAATATTACAACGGCCAAGAATTGGCACTTTGGGGGGTGGGGATTCCACTTTGAAGAAACTTTCTCCAACAACTCATAACAGGAAACTTTGTCAAAGATACCCATTCCTCACAGATGCAAGGATAGACATATCTGAAATTTGCTTCCTATACAGGATGAAACATTCTGACCTGGCTCTGTATAGAGAAAGAAGTTTTCCGATACAGCCAAAAAGAAGTTAGGTCCCTGACTCCAACTTAGAGCTTCTTCAAATATTCAACTGCCACAAAATAGCAAGAGATGGTGAAAAGTAAAAAAGAGATAATAGATAATAATGTATTCATGCAATGGAATGGATGTTGCACTATTCACTAAAATAAGCAGTTCAAGAATCAATTAAAATCAGCAGGAAAAACAATTAGAAATGCAACTGTCAACATTAAATAGACGACATTACTAGTAGAGATATTACACTGGTTATAGTAAATGATTGCATATAGACAACAGATTTAATGATAGACAGAACAATTAACCAATGGACTTGCCCAGACTGCTATATTAAAATAGGGAAAAAATTATACACAAAATATGCAGGTGAAAATTCCTTAGAAATAAGCTCTAATATTTCTAAGGAGTTTTCACCAACAAATTGATAATAAAAAAATTGAATACCGATCAATGGCAAAAATATTCATGCTAATTCAGTACATTGTATAAAGGCTAAAATCAAAGACTCAGATAATGAATCACTCGCAGCTGAAGATTTGGAAGATAATTTATATCACTGGCAGAAATAAGAAAAGGAGAAACAAAAGTGCCATTCACAAATTTTTTAAATATGAAAAATTAACTACGAAGACAAATCAAAGCAATGGTACAACAGATGCTGGATAAGTAACTAGGAAATTAAATCAGGATATGAAAATGAAAAAAATTCCACAAAATAAGAGAGATTACAAATGATAATAATATTAATTCAGAGATAATATAATGATCTTAAGATTTACAGAAGGAATTAGAGATTGTTTTGCATTAAATATGAAAGAATTTAGCTGCACCAATGATGCATTTTATGAAAATCTGACTACAGTAAACTAATATAAATGAAGCATTAAAAAAAATAATGCAGAAGAATGTTCTGATATAAAGAGGATTGCAACTGAATGGATGAGACAAACATGTACATAAGACAAATGAGATCTCTGCATATCTAGTACAAAGAAGGAAGGACAGGAGACTTTTAATTGGTTGTAGACTACAGAAAACTAAATTCCTAGACAGTTTCCTCACCCATAAACAGATGATCGATTTGAAGGCTTGAATAGGTGCAAATTGTTGACTACATTGGATTTAATGCATTGATATTTTCAGATTCCTTTGGCTGAAAAGGCAAACTTGAAACAGCTTCCATTATTCTGAAAGACACAGCTCTATCTGAGAGGATGCTATTCAGACTAGAATAATGCCTGGCAGAATTCTGGAGTCTGATAAATCAAGTTTTAGACTTTTACTTACAACAGAAGTTCTATGTTAGTCAGATGATATATCAGCAAGATTGCACAGGGAAATGATGAATAAACTGAGGAAAGGTTTTGAACATCTGATAGAAACAAAACTTGCATTAAAATAAGCACATAAATTTGGGAAAACACGTATGAAAGCAGGCAAATCGACAACCTTTTATTTGGCGTAGATTTTGTAAAATCCTAATCAATTTTGAGGGCAAAACGGGTCCTCTTTCATCAGGAGCAAAAAATTCAGCAAAAGCGAGAAAGTGAATGTCGATCAAATTTATACCCTGCAGGCGACCAGTAGAAGAGACGATAGCGCCAACTGTCGGCAGAAATAGTAACGAAAAATAAAGGGTTAAGTTAGTAGAATTTTAAAGGCATTAGGCAAGACTAGAATGGAATTAAGATGTGTTAATTTCGTCTTTTCTGACGTAAGATTCATGTTCCTTTATGCGAAACTTTAATGCTCTTTTTGTTTGGACAACATAATTTAAGCCACACTGACACGATATGCTACAAATTCCCCAAGAGAGGCAAGAAAACAACTTGAAAATTAAACTTGTGTAAAATCCATGCAATTTTGGAACTGATAGAAGGATGAAATAGAAGCACAACAAGGTAATTCATGTTATTTCTAACCTCAGAATGTGTTCTTAGATGGCCCGATGAGAACTTTCGAACAGCTTTATCAATGGCTATAGGAGAAAATCCTCGGTCTAAGGCAACAGATCTTAAATAATTGAGTTCATTAGCAAGAAGAGATTCTGAGGAACAAAGACATTTGAAAAACTATCTCGAAATACTTTGAGAACTCGAAATACATAATAGTAAAAAGAAGCTATTTTTTGCTTAGCCGAGTGGATTTATCATGGGGAAGTAAACAAACAGAAAAGGGTTCACAGTAAACAGCTGTGATGAAATTAGATCCATTGCGGATTATAAAAATATCAAGGAATCCTCGAAATCTAGTTTCAAGACATTTTAGTGCACTTTCGACCATAAACAGCAAATTAACATCAAACAAAACCATAATCAAGTACAAGGGAAAAATATGCTTAAGTTTATCAATGACTTAGAAAGAATTTTTTTATTGTGTCAATATTGTTGGAAAGTAAAGCAGAAAATACAGAAACTAAATATTTGGCCAATGGGTACGATGCCGTTCCTAAATTGGAAACTATAGGCCGAAGAGGAATTCCAATTTTGTGAACTTTGGGGAGAGCATAAAATCTAGCACAGTTAGCAATAGGTGGAATGAGTGGTCTCTTAAGCTGAGTCGAAAGTATATGAGAAGATTTAACAGCTGTTTTAACTTTTGTGAGGTCAGAAGTTGAGGGATCTTTAGGGATCGAACAATATGGGCCTTGACTTATCAGTTTCGTTACCCCACTAATATATGTGTGTTTGTCCACCCTTATCAGCCTTTGAAATTACAAACATTACAATGAATGTCACGTAAAGTTTTCTTTTCTTTTTGGTTGAGATTCGAAACAGATGAATTGTTGTTAAAATTCACATTATAAGTAATTAAGTGGCGAATTGTCTTTCTGTGTGTTTGAAATTTTAGAGAATTTATAAGCTTTTTCAACAGGGGCGATGATTTGAGGAATTGAAAGTTTTGATGACTTAGAAAAGTAAAAGTAGCCCTCGAAATTGGTTAGGATTTCACAAAATCTACGCCGAATACAAGGTGCCTGCTTTATTTTCCACGTCAGCATGTCTCTTTTGTGTCTAGATATGGAATAGTTGGCGTTTTTAATAAAGCTGAGTATTATGCAAGCTTCACTGGACTGAGGAAAATTTTTCTTAAATTCTTTTCTACATTATCTTAAAAAAAATAATGAGCTATATGTTCAGTGATCTCTATGGGTTAACAAATTTGTTTAAACAATTCATTGCAGGAAAAGTTGAACATCAGTACCTCCCTTCCACACACACATACAAAAAAGAAAGAGCTTTCAGATTTTACACGGGACGGGTGTTTTTTAATGTATTGTGCATTACCTTTTATTTATTAAATATCATGTTCTTCGCACTTAAACCATAAAATCCAGTTCAGCAGCAATATCGCAAAATAATTACAAATTTTGCTAGCATATCTTTAGAATTTCCGATACACAGTCTCGTACGCTGGAGATAAAAATGGTTTTTTTTTTCCCTCGTACAGTTTTGCCATTGCTCGCTTTTAGATTGTTGAGTTTGTTAATCAAAAATTTGTTTGTTAATCAAAAAAAGTTTTACAAAATATGAAATAGATAATGAAACAAATTCCAAGTTTGGGCTTCCAGATGCCCATACTCGGGAGGAAACGCACGTTATTCAAAAAAAAAGGCTTTACGTACCATTGTTTTATCATAATGCGCAAAACATACATACATTTGTGCAGATTCTTCATTATTTAATTTCTTTAAACATAATACAGGGCGATAATATTTGGTGGCAACAATTTGAAAAGTGAACTGACATTTATAATGAACCAATGCAAAATACCAAAACGTAATTAATAGTCCTGCTGGGCAAATTGCCCCTTTGGACTAAAAAGAAAAGAATTTTTAACTGGATTTTTTGGGGGATATTTAATTTATGGCAAAAGCACACAAAAGCTATCTGCCTAGAATTTTTAAATGAAGTTCAGCAACAAGTATATGATATGTTAAAAGAACGTCTAACCAGACAGCCTATACAGAAATATAAGAGCCTGTAGCAGAAATGAAAAAACATAAACATATGGATGTAAGCAGAAGAGAATTAATTATCAAGAATGTTATACCAAAAGGGATGCTAAAAAGTGACATTTAGCGTACTAATAAATAACAGGATGACAGCAAAATGAAATTATCACTAGAGCAATTTAGGAATTCTATGAAAATAATTTGGAATGTGATATGACTCAAACAATTCTTAATCAGAACCAAACTGATAGTTATGGCTTGCTAAGAATTAGACGAATGATGAACCATAATCTATACAGCAATGATGAATGGATGTTACAAAAAAAAATCTGATACTTTACAACTAGGGAAGAATATACTTTTTTCTTTCCAAATCATAAGAGGATACTGTCAATCAGGATAAATTCCACATTCTCTTATAAAAAGACAATGAACAAAAATATTCACATATTAAATTAATACTATAAGAAATTTTAAATTCTTAAATTAATGTTATGTAAAAACTATATAAATCTCATATAAATGTTACCGGCAATATATGAAAGACTGCTATTCTGTAGAATGTCTGGTATTTTTAGGTAAAGTATTAAATATGAGAATTATTACATACTGATACTTTTTTCCACATTTAATTTTTTTTGGGGGGGAGAGAGGGTCTTCCAGACATATTTTAGAATTCTTTTACCTTTCACAGCATTTTCAGCATACACGAAACAAAACAGTACATAAAATATCCAATTCATCATCTTTACTTGCATGGCCACAATACTGTAATTTCCGGAAGAAACGCCGCGGCGTTTACGTGTTAAAACTTAAATTTTCTGCGGGTGCGGCGTTTCTACCCATGCGGCATTTAGGTGCACTAAAAATAAAATATTTCCTACGATGGTCATTGTACATAGTTTGGATGGCCTTGTCATTGTGCATAGACTGGTGCTATTCCCACACAAAAGACCACTCAGTTGCTTTTTGCGAACGTTATTTTGTTTTACATTATTTCCTTTGAATGGACCTACATGCCTTATTCACCCTAAACGAGACCTCAGAACAATAACATTTTTCCCCCTTTCAAATCAACATTCTCATCAGTTTGAATAGTCTCTCTTCTCTGCTATTCGATGAATCTTCCAGGACACATCCTCTCCCCACCCCTGCCTTTTCTGCAATTTTTTTCAAAGGCGGACACGATTACCTGCCTCGCAATAACGAACTCTGACGTATTTTCCCTTCAGCATGAATGGATTTTTCTTGGCATTCTGCCAAATATAGATCCCATCAGTTTGGGTACAAGTACTTGTTGGATAGTTTTTAAGTAAGAAGGGAGCAGAAAATTTTTGAAAATGTCTCTAAACGGCACAGAAGCTATACATTTCTTACCTTTAATTTATTTTTGAGTTATGGTTTCATTTCATGCATTTTTCTTAACTGGTATGTCATATATCAGGACTTAGGTTGAGTTTTTGCATCTATACGCCCCACGACGATGTCACAAGCAATTTAATCTATTGCGGCGTTTCTGTGTAATTTTAATTTTTTTCCCGACATTTTTCTGGAGTGCGGCGCTTACGCTGATGCGGCCTTTCTTCCGGAAATTACGGTATTATGATTTTTTACGACATTTTGAGCATGCATGTGCACCACTGGTTACCTTTAAACATACACAATAGGTAGCAAGAATAGTAATCTCTGTGATAAGCATGTCACCATCAGGTTGGCTTAACCTTTTGGAAAAATGGCCATTACAATGGCCTTGGTAATCTATATTTGAAAGGTCAGAGATGTCCACTTTAGTGGTCATGTATCCCCCTTTTTCCAAGCTGAAAAAGTGGGGTGAACTGTCAAGTTTGATGTCCCTGGAGTCTTAATCACTTATCTCTTTCAAAGGTCTTATTGTTAAAGCATCCAGGTTTTTGCCAGGACTGAGAAGAGAAGAGCCAGTTCATACAGTTTTTTCCCCTGAAGCAGAAAGTGAGAAGTGATGATGTAGTCATGATGACACTAAGCATGGAGATGCAATTAACAGCTTAGAAATTAGCATTTTTGAACCAGCGTTTAAAATGAGATTTGTGTGAAAGATAGCTATAATTTGAAAGACACGATGTTACTGCTGTATGCGTGTTACACTGAACCATTAAAAAAATTAATAATACTTACTCAATTTTAAAATAATAGATAAAATGTGCTACTCTTTTAACTGAAAGTTCTGTGTATTTTTTTATTTTTGCAGGTTTTTTATTTAATGCACATTTATTTATAACCATTTCTTTATCTGCACGCATTCTAGCATATGAAAGAATTTTTATCCTGCTTCTAAGATAACTATAACAGCAGCTACTTAAATTTACTCAAAAAACAACTTTACATTGACAGTTTTAAACATATATGACATATATGGCAAAATTTCTGCTAATCTACGTTTGATTTTTTGCCTAATTGTAAATTTTACATTAGCATATTTCTTTTCCAATTCAATATAACAGTATATATTTTTAAAATAATTTAGTAATTTATACTTACTGATTTAGTAATTTAGTAATTTATACATCTATATTACAATTAAATAAATGTATGTAAGATTGCTTACCTTTAATTTTGACAAAACAGCTTTACTCACAGTACCTAAAAACAGTTATTAAATTTTTCAAAAGTGTGAGTAAAGGAGGCAGGTCTTTTTATGCCAACTACTTGTTACGATGTTTTATACTATTATATTTTATATAGAATGATAATCTAGCACAAAATCGAATCAATAATTAGTTACAAAGGATACAATAAGAATAACTTTAACAAGTACTTAACAAAATTAGTTTGTTAAGTACATGTTATTCTTGTTAGTACTATTTTGGTAATATTCATAATACTGAAGATATTATCGATTAACTCATAGAAGTCAGACGCTTTTTGATTTCCTTTTGCGGTAGTTCTTGAAAATAATGTTTTCGCTGCACCGACTTTTTGTCTCTCGTTTCCCTTGACCATTAAATAATTCGGTTTTAGTTTGTGACACATTTTGATTTCTTCTGAATCTCTATTTAAAATCTCTTTAATAATATCAAAATTTAAAACAGTTGTATCTTCTTAAACAAATTTATCTAAAACGTGGTTTCTCAGTAATTTCAGGCAGACCGCGAAATGAGACCTCTGATTAAAACAAACTGCACACTTTGAAAAGAACCGAGAACTTGGTCGAGTTTAGAGTCATAGCAGAGTTTTCAATCTACATGCATTTTGTCGAAACTGAGAATGCATTTTTTTCTACAGAATTCAAATATTCGTCTCTTTCCTTCTTTAGAGTAAGAACATTACTTTGAATTCTTGGACTAGCACACCATTTCTTTAATTTGCTAATGCTAGGTAAAAAGGAATTCCAATTTTTTTTCTTTTCAAAAATCATAGCTTTAAGATGACAGAGCTCTTATGACAATGCAACGTGAAATATCTTCACTAGTCCACCTGATTTTTTCCTTCTTTTTGAGCAATGCATTAATCTGCGTCTTTATGAAAATAGGCTTTAGACATTTTTCTAAATTCTCCGATTTGTGCTTCACCCCCCTGAAATTTCGCTATTTGAGATTTTAATTTCTGATACCAATTTCTTTCTAGATGCTGTCTACCTTCTTTGTCGCTGAACAAACATTCTAAAATTTTTCTTTTCTCTATTTTTCAATACTTTAACACAATTTCGAAGGATATTATTTTGTTCTTTAAATTATCAATGCATTCTTGTTTATCCTTAAACTTAGGCCAGTGAGTGAATATCTACATTTTAATTTGTTAGTTTTATTTCAAAATCATTAACATTTGATTTATTGTCATCATAATTTACTTTTGGCACAGCACAGCATTTCAAAAGTTTCTTTTTGAGGCTATCCAAACAAGCAATTTTTCATATCATCTTCATAAACACTGCATTGAAAATGTTCGCTGAAAATTTTTTCACTCTTCATATTAATAGAATATTGTCTGACATTTGTGTATCCATTTTTTCGTCAAAATCAAATTCTCATTTGAGTCCTTTGGTACCATGAAATAAAATATCTCATTATTTCTGTAAGTACTACGACACGTTACTACAGCGCAAAAAGCCATATTACATAAACAATACTTTGCAATATAGAATTTAAAATAAAAACTGACTAAAATTATATATAAATTACTTTAAATGTTTACATTATTAGAAAACAAATATATATGATTAAAATTAATTTGAGATATGCAACCTCTAGAAAATCGTCTCGCGGCTGAATGAAACTACAGTTTTAAACGTGGGAAATCAGAACAGGTGCATCACAGTCACGTCAGATTACTGCCGGTTAAGTCCCCCCATTAGGCTCGCGTCGGCGAGGAGTCGAACAAAGGGATAAACTATACTACAGGTCAACATAAGTTGAGAACACTGGATATACTAAAACGTGTATGCATCCGTTGAAGAATATACTTCTACCGTTTCAAGAAGTAATATTGTAAAAATTACGCTGTGAAATATGAATACTGCTGAACAAGGAAAAAGTAAGGGAAAAAATGTGTAAAACGATAGATTACTTTGCGTCCAGCTTTTTAATTAAAAATTTGCAAAATCATGTCAATCATTCAATGACCAGCAGGAAGACAGCCCCTTTTTTTTTTGGCATTATTGGTGAAATTGCAAATTCCAGCAACCCTGAGTTCACCCGACTCTCAATGAGAAAATTAAAGCATTCATTCATTCACTGACCGGGAGGAGAAAAAAAGCAATTGTCATGGCGTCTGCATCATCTTCGACATATGTGTTTAATTTTTAGCCTCATAAAGCTGGAAAACCATTGCACAGTGCCGCTAAGATTATCATTATGAATGTTTTTGTCAAATTACGGAGCATTTTCCTAATAAATCCGAAAACGATATTGTTACATTTGCTGCTGATCTGACTGGCATTTCTGTAACAAGCATAAATCGCATGAAATTCGAATTGAAAGAAAATGGAGGATTTTCGACTCCAGGTAAGAAACGACCTCTGAAAGTCGGTATGCAAACCAGAATCAAACGATATGATGAATTAACTTTAGCAACAATACGAAGGAAAGTTCATGGTTTCTTTTTACAGAATGAAATTCCTACTGTGCAAAAAGTGCCTAAAGTTATAAATGATGAAGCTGATTTGTCAAATATGTCCATTCACACAGTAGGACGAACTATGAATGATTTAGGATTTGCGACAGAAAATGAAAGCGCCAGTCAATTTTGATTGAACATGACAATATTCAATGCTGGAGGTATACATATCTAAGAGATATAAAAAAATATCGTTCACTGGGTAGGACAATTTATTACATTGATGAAACTTGGGTAAATTTTGGGGCATTCTAAAACCAAAATTCGGGAGGATACAACAATAAAAAGTGCTAATAGAGTCTGTCTGAGCGGTCTTTCAACAGGTTTAACTCCTCCCTCAGGAAAAGGCTCACAGTGTATAGTTTGTTCACGCTGGTAATGAAAACAGATTTATTCCTGAAGCATGCGATATATTCGAAGCTAAGAAAAAGAAAGGAGATTACCATGGGGAAATGAATTCAGAACATTATGAAAACTGGTTTGAAAGAAAATTACTACCTAACTTGCTACCGAACAGTGTAACTGTGTTGTATAATGCATCTTATCACAGCGTTTTGTCTGAAAACATTCCTTCTTCAAGTACAAGGAAAGGCGACATTCAGCTCTAGTTGACAGAAAAAATATTCCTTGAGAAGCTGATATGTTAAAAGCAGAACTTTTAGTTCTTGTTTCTAAGTTTCGAAAACAATTTGAATTCCATCGTATAGATGTTGTAGCTGCTGAAGGCGGACATACTGTTTTGCGTTTACCACCATATCATTGCGAATTGAACCCAAATGAACTCATATGGAGTAGTGTGAAAGGGTATGTAGCATGTGAAAACAGATCTTTTAAAAAGGACTAAGTCCATAAATTGATTGTTGAAGGAATTGATTTGGTGACTCCTATGCAATGGGTTAAATGCATGAGGCATGTAATAGAATCTAACAAGAGAAAATGTGGAAATTAGATTGTCTGGTGGAGAACACCGTTGAGTGCGTGCAATTTAATATTGATGAGTCGGATAGCTCAGATTCTTCAAACGATAATCTTAGAGGGATTGAATACCTCAGTTAAAAAAAGGCCCTTTTCAGGGCCACAAATTAAAAATACAAAGGCCGTTTCCCATGCCACAAATTTAAAAAAAGGCAGAACTATAAAGAACATTATAAATACATTATAACATTATAAATATAATACATTATAACATTATAAATATAAGCATTAGAAAATATAATATGAAAGTGTCCCACCAGTAGCCGAATGTTTAAGATCGCTGAATACTGTTAGTTTGACATTGTTTGAACCCAAGCGAACGGGCTGGATTCATGGTCAGTTTTCGTCGTTTTTTCCAAGTATAACGTGAATACGAGCCCATTTCCTTTAGAAAGTTCTCCACAAATATACCCCTTAATCAGATAGCTCTTGTGTGCTTTACCATATTCAAATCACCTAACCTAACCAATACGGAAGTACTGATCAATTAAGTTAACTATGGTAGAAGGAATTTTCTAATGTTATATGTTTAACTGATTGGTACAAACTAATAGGTATAAGATCATTTACATCTTAATTTTTATGTTCGTTTTACAATTTTAAAGTTTTTAATATTTTTCTAATATCTTGAAATTTTTAATGGTTAACTCTTTAGTCATTAGATTGTAATCTGAAGATCTCAGTTTCCAGTACTTTTATTTATTTTATTTTTGATTTTAAACAGTAATAAAAAAGATAGGATAAGATGTACTGTAGGAGAGTGATTGTCTGGACACGATTGGAAGAGTATGTGTCTTAGGAGACAATACCGGATATAATTTTTATTGATGTCTGTTACAAAATATAATCAGAGTTTTTAAATAATCGGAAATTAAAATCAAATTAACATTTTTAGAAAATAAAAATCAGCATTTTTCTTCTGGTTCACGTTTAAAAATTAAAAGAAAATACTTCCTACCAGATTTTCTTAATTTATATATTTTACTTTTAACTAAGCGAACGGTCTTGGGGGGGGGTGAAATTTAACCCAAACTACAAGGAGTACATTGTTAACTCTTCCGTTTCAAGTTTTAAGTAATGATTCTTTAAATGACATCAAATTCATATGCATCATAGTTAAGATTATAGTGAAAATTTTCATATAAATTAAGAAACTAACGTGCCCTACATTTTACACTACAATGAACTAACAAATTCAACTGCAGCTTTATCACATAAAAAGATTGTTACTTAAATATACGCTGGATTTGGCAAGAAGTCGCCAAATGTGTAGCGAATTGGAGGAATTGAATTTCCGCGGGGGGTTTGGTGCGTATGGATAACTTGAAGAACAGGGTTAAAAGGTCGTTCTAGCCTTGTATGTGTTCTCAGTTTAGCTTGTCATGAAGTATAGCTCTTTCTATTTATCCCTGGTTTTCCTATCATTCCCTTTTCATTCTTGCAGCTTCAAAATTCAAAGATAACCTCACTTATCTTGTAAATTCCTCCCATTCTTTAAAAAACTATATACACAGCACAAATTTCTCGTTCTATACGAAACATTTTTTGCTATAAAAAAAATTACAATACGAAATATATACAAATAGAAGTAAACACTGCATATTTGAAATTGTCAGTTTTCGCTCTTAAGCATTACGTTTTCATGCAAATTTTCAATACTTATTTAGACTTCAAATTTTAATTTTTCTGCAATTTAAAAAGTTTTTAATGATTTATGCAGTGATGATTTTTTTAACTATTCCTTCCAAGGGGAAAATTTTAAAGAATTTGGACAATTTCAATAAAATATACAGGAAAACAAATTAACACTACAAGGAAATATGACAAAAATAATATGTGTGTTTACTGCAACATTTGTTGATGAAGCCATGAATGTTTGTAGATTAAGGAAATATGTTCATGAAATTTATGAAAAAAATTTTAGATGCATTAAAAAATTAAATGGAAACCTAATAAAATTTTAAAAAATAATAAAAATATCTATAAAATAACAGATATGGAGGAATTTTATAACATAACTTCAAAATATAATAGAAATAATTTTTGTTATCACTTTATAAAGGCATTTAATTTGGTAAGGCATTACATAAAACCTCCTTTCTTTTTAAAGAATGGTATGTATATGTGGAGAAATAGAATGATGTTTTCTATATATATAAAATCATATATGTACACATATGCATATACATTTCCCTTCTGTATCTCACTGAGTAGTCTGATCTGGAATCAGTTGCACCTTCAAATTTTCCCTTCATAAGGAAAACAGTTTAGACAATAATCCATATATTTCCCTTCCTTTTGTAAAGGAAAGCCTCTTTTTCTCTGTGTGAACTATAAGTTCATGTGTTTGGGCACCTGGATAAGAGACTCTATCCCAGTCTAGCAATTGGACCTGCTTCTGAATGTTGGCGATCATGGTGTTTGGGTTGCAGAGCAACAATATTAAGCATATGTTGAGGTATGGCAGATTATTATTATTATTATTATTATTATTATTATTATTATTTTGTAGAGAGTTCTGAGGTAAATAGCAATTTTAGAGAGTGATGATAGCAATTAAAATGTAGAAGCGGTGTTGAGAGATAATACTTCCAGAGAGTGATGAGCAGAGTAGCATGCAGGCAGCAGTGATGACGATCTGAGGCTGAATGAAGTTGGAGTGAGGAAAGCGTCGAGTGTGGCTATGAGGAGGAGGTTGATTGGAAGTGCGATGGTCATGTATGCTAGGGGGAAAAAGGGCTAAGGCTCTTTTCAGTCCATACAAATTTTCAGGGAAGGCCGAAAAGTAATGAGAGGGAGCGGGTTATTTTAAAATTAAGCCTGTTGGACTTAGAAAATTTAGGCAATTGTAAATCTAAATTCTTTTTCTTTTGAGAAGGTGCTTTAAGCATTAATTTAATAGATGCATAAGGACGAAAATAGTTAAGCAATTATACATACACAATTCAGTTAAATAAAAGATAATATTTTTATTATTTATTCTCCCCCCTCCATCTTTTTCAGGATGAGTCAAACTATGTAAAAGTGCCATTGTTGAAACAGCAAGGGACTTCTTAAAAGGGAGGAAGCATCAGGTATGAAAAAAACCCTCTTTTTAAGAATCTTATAGGAGTGAAATTCCCGACCTAAAAAGGTTACCATTCATGTACTTTTTCTTCTGCCAGTAGCACCTTTTATGCACTTGGATTTTCATTAGCGTAGATCTAAAAATTATGTTAAGTATAATGAAAAATGCGCTTTACATGTAAACAACACATTTCACGTAATTGCATGTTTTGGGTAAATCAAAGAAAAAGTTTTAAAATGTTTTAACAAAAAGCTTATTGTAAAGTCATTTCAAATGATAGAAATGTCAAACTGCATTTTTTTTATTTATTTACATGTATAAAAAATTACGAATTTCAGGAAATAACCAATTAAATCTGATTCTTTTGCCAAAGAATGAACAAAAGGCAATTCTAGTTATCATTATCAAATGCAGTTTCATCACTCTGTTCCTGACATTCAAATAATTGCATGGCACTAAAGACAAGGCCTTGCACTCTGAATAAAGTAATTTTTTGTTCAAACTTCTGAAAGTTATGGCTTAATTTTAATGACTATAAAGCTAAATGAATTTTTCATGCTGCAAATATTTCAAAGAATTTTTTAAACGAAGAACTGTCTGTTGCTTGGAAACAAAGCCACAAAAAAAAAAAAAAAAAAAAAATGGCAGGTCTATTGACTATTTTTAGGCAGACTCTGCCCTCTAGAAAGAATTTAAAGCTGCTAGAAATTATTGTTACAATGCAAAAATCAGATCTCAAAGGAAAATTATTTTTCGAGATTGATTTCTGATTATAACCCTTGGAATAGGAACATAATTAGGCAGATGAGTTTAAAGCTAGCCACCACTGGAAGTTTTGTATCGCAGTAAAACTGCGAGAAATATCTTTAGGCCAGAAAACAAGGATTTATATCTCGCTGATCTTATTACAAAAAGACTAACTGGTGCAAATATCAGAGACGAAATCTATAACAGTGGGTTTGCATAATCTTCAATGATCAAAAATCCAAGTTTAAAATCTAGTTCTAAATGCATCTGAATCTAGAGACATAAAATACACTTGCCAGCACAAAAAAAAAAAAAAAAAAAAAAAAAAAAAAAAAAAAAAAAAGTCACCACCACAGCAGACTTGAGAGAATTAGAAGGTAAAATTATCAGAAATGTTATTCTCAAGTAAGAGTTCAACAGATCTGACACTATCAGGGAACAGAAGTGAAATCTAGTAACCCACATAATGCTTTAGAGATGCACCTATCCCCTCCCCGGAATAATAATGCAGCATAAAGTCTCTATAAGATTTTTTTAAAGGGCACTGCAACTAAATTTTATTTCAACATATTTATGTTCAAAAATTCTTAAATCCTTAAAATAATTTTTAACAGATCCTCATTACTTTGCTTTCCCCCCCCCCCAGATTTGTAATGTCCTCTAGCGAAAGCCAATGACTGACATTATGGCTGCTTAATAGATTTCTTGAAACCAAAAGCATCACATAAGTAATCTGGCCAGCAAACCTCTTGGTTTGAAAGAGAACTTATATTTTTTAAGAGTTGCTGTACTGCAAAAATTACATATTGGAGGTCTTGATGCCTTCAAGACTACATTTTCAGACAAATGAAGTTTACTTCCCAAATTCTAATAAATTAGTTTCTAAAAGCATGAAATCACATTAATACATTTTGGAGGAATCGAAGAAAAGATCCTATTAATACCAAAAGTCTGAATTTGTTTTGCCACTACTGTTTCCCTCTCCAACTTTTGTTGTCACAAATAATTATAAGTTATTGTAAGTTACACTCCATGTAATCGTCAATATACAATACTCCAGGTAAATTCCTTCTGTTTTATTCAACAGTTTCAAGGTACCTTTTTTTTAATGCAAAGTCAAGGATATCTGTGTGTATGCAAGCACACAGCAAGCACACAGAATTAAATTTTTAATAACATGCACATATAATTCTTTTAATTAACAAGTTAATAATCATATCCTGTAAAAAATAACAGATAAATTTTCAAATAACTTTTTCATTGATACGCCACTAAATAAACAAACACATTAACAACACATAAATCTATGATTAAGCTAACAAGCTAAAGATTACAAAGAACTCAACAATTTGTTTATCTAGATATCAAATTTTTATAAATATATGAGAATGTATTTCAAAATCAATAAAACTCTTGTTAACAACATGCCCCAAATAAAGAATAGTTACATATATATTTCAATTTTTTGAAATAGTAAGACGTACTGTTCTTTGCATGCAAGAGAGAGAACTATGAGGTGCACATTCATGCATCAAGCTTTGAATGAAAATTAAATATAGTTTATTATAAATGAAAACTTATATTTTGTAATTAAAAAATTGGATTAATAAATTATCATGCACAAAAAATGTTCATTAAAAATATATATAGAAAAATGCTTTAAGAGATGAAAAAAAATTCTCCCACAATTTTTTATGTAATTTGATAGAAAAGGATATATTTCCGAGCCAAAATACTACATGGTATTTAAATAATTTCAAAAAGCAATAACTTGTAATGTAAAATAAATAATGCCTAAATATGACTACAATTGTTTTCCAAGAAAAGCAATTGCCTGAATACAGAGTCAAAACTTACATGTGAAATCCTCCGGTGCCAAAATGTTCCAAGTCTCTCCTGTCATTGGGGAGGAGAATTGTTCTAAAACAGGGTTTTCCACGTGATGGTACATATGTACCCCTGTATCAGGGTGTTCAATTATTAAATAGGAACAAAAAATAAAAAAGTAAAATTAATCAATCTATGACAGACAACCATGCATAAACATATCAAAATAAGTTATGTATCAAAAAAGTATCAAGCAGCAAACATTCCTATTAAAACTTTACCTCTATAACACATTTGCATGCAAATTTCTAAACATACACATAGATAAACACACTAAGTAATAAAAAAGTTTAAAAAATAAAAATTCAAAGAAACTGGTGGTTTACATTAATCCAAATAATGAATTTAAAGTTAAAAAAATAATAAAATCACACATAAATCCTAGCGCCATGCATACAGAAGCATAAGTGTAACGCTTAAGTGAGAAAGTGAAAATCTCACTCCTGTTAGAAGCATAATATTTGAGTACCTATTATACATATATTCCAAAAATCCAAAATATATGAGAATTTCTAATAATGAAAGCAAATTTTTAACATAACATTACATTTGTATTTATCTTAAGCAATAAGAGAATGCAGTGACATCTTCCCATGACAGCCACTTATGGTTCCACACAATTTTAATCTTATATGGAAGTAGCTGAATTAGAGAACATGGCAATCAGAGATGGCAGATATTGGTTTTCATATTAGCATTTGCCAACTCAAAAGATATGAACATCAGGTTTAAAAAAATACTGAGGTGCAGTGTAAAATATCAAGTTAAAATTCTAAATCAATAGAACTAAAAACAATAGGATAATGATATAAAAGAATACTTTTTGATTAACTACACACCTGTCGAAAAATGACCAAAAAGTAATTTTGTGGCAATCCAAGTATGTGCATAGCATGCTCCTGTTTCAGCTGTTGTGCAATTGAATATTGCACACCAGCTTGATTAAAGAAAAGTCACAGAATTGTAATTCCCTGATGTTTCTTTAAACAAAAACAGATCGTTGTATACATAGGAAGAACAGCATTAAAAAATATATATATATATATTCCTCTGAAAAGGTGTTTCTTTACCCATTTTCTTGCTTTTTTTAACCTATTTTCTTATTTGATTAATTGGAATTTTTATTATGCCAACATTTTGAAAATGGCTGTTGCTTTAACAAAAAATTATTACCTACCATGTTTGCGATTTTTCAGTGAATATTAGAAATACCAATAAATAATTTTATTACTTAAAATATTGAAATATAATTATTTGAATATTAGATATCTAATATTAGAATATTACAATCTAATATTCAAGTAGATACTTGATTTCTGTTATATTTAAAATCAGAATACACTGATTTCTGATACAACTTATAATCAGAAAGTACCAATAAAAATTTCAGAATATGTAAGTCAATTTTTTAGAATAGTAGAACCAAACAAAATTTTAAAATATAGGGTAAGCAGTTCCTGTGAAGGAAGAAAAAAAATTACATGTTTTTTCCTTTTTTGGCGGTGGGTAATTTTAAAAATACCTTCCAATCAAATCTGTTATTTGATTTTTTATCTGGGTTAATCACTTTCCTAAAACAATTTGAACTTTGTACAAAAATAAAATTTCTCAATATTTCCCAGATTACAATTTTTTTTCCCAATTTAAAGTTTCATTTCAAGTTTCTTTGCTTACTTCATTTAGCAGCTTTTAAGCTTTCATTCACATTTCATAAGTAGGTAAATCTTATATATATATATGTGTGTGTGATGATAAAATTTAGTTTGGCAGTTGGAAACTTTTGAAGAATCACAAAAATCACTTCATATTCCAAATATACCTTTATTACTTGTGGCACTTCACAATGGGGGAGACAACTTTGATGATGGCACACTACATTTTAAACAAAAGCAGCAAAGCAAGAGATGTCTTTCAGCCAGCAAGCACAAGCAGAAAAAGAGGTTGGGGTAGCACTGCAACAATATTTATAGTAAAATTTTTCGTTAATCTGATTGGCTGAAACTTATAGGCAATGCAGAAGTTTCAAGATGACATAATGCGGAATACATTTCCAGATAAGATGCAATTTAGAGGAAGTTATTACTAAAGACAAAGTACCCAAATTAAAAATGAGCAATTAAAGAGGCATTTTAAATTATAATTTTGATTTGCATTTTTTTTACCTTACATATATATATTTTAAAAAAGCGTCATTATACAATGAGTGTATATATATGTCTTAAATAAATTAAAATATGTCTAATATCTATATTTAATATTATGTATTTAAAATACATTTTTCTGCCAATTACTTTCACTTAATGCTCTGTATCTGGTTTAATGTCTAATCTGATACTAATATATAACTGTCATAATATATTTACAATTTCATTTCTTATCTGCTCAGCTACTTCTTCATTCATCACAACTCAAAAAATTAATATAATACATCTAAAACTATTCACATAACCCTACTTTTATACACACTATTTCATGCTTTTTTCATATTTTAAACTACATCTATTAAAAAAAAACTTTAATCAGTTCTTTAACATTTTCCACTAAAACAAAAAAATATTTCAGAATAGTGAAGATGTTGATTTTGAAGTTTAAACAATGAGATTTTTTCGAGACCCAAAAGCTGTAATTTACTAAAGCAGATAAATCATTACTTAATTTCAGATGGCATGTGAAATTTCCCAGAACTTTACTCATTTTTTATTTTGAAATTAAGTTTTTAATCTAGTCTATTAAAAACGCATGTGTCAGCTAAGACTTAACCAGCCTAACTATTCCCTTTCCAGCTCAGACTGATTGATATTTCAATTGCAAGTATTTATTTATTGTTAATTTATGATACAAGCTTAATATCCTTTTTTTCTCTAAAGCACTGAAATACTGCATCACTACATTACACTTTATACAGTACTATGCATACTGAAACTTTAGAATGTCAGTTCTTATGTTCATAATCACTATTAAAAAGGTTATTAAATGAGTCTATCGTAAATGACAACCACTGCAACAAGTCTGCAAATTTTCAATGAGGATTTCATTTTTAGGCAGATTTTTAAAAGCAATGTTGTTTCTCAGCTGAATTTGCACTTTAATAACAGCTGCCAAAAGTGGATTCTTCAAATTGATGTTCCTGTGTTCATAGATCCAGTTTTTAACTAAAAGAATTTTATCACTGATTAGCACTTTTACATTTAGCCAAGAAAATCTTTATCGTTTTGATACTTGAACATTAACTTTTGACAGGATATATGACAAGCTGTGGAAACAGGAAATGATATGGTTTTGAGCAAAGTATAAATGATTTAGATTATGCTATGTTGGATCATAAATTATGCCAGACAGTAAAGTAATAAAATTAATGATTCAGAAAATTATAATTAGACATTATTTCTGACCAAAAAAGTTTTGCTCTTGTATGAAAAATCAGAAATTTAACTCATCTACCCTGCCTTCCTTTGCCATTTTATGGCAAACCTAAACTAAAAGACGGAGTACATTGAGATGAAATACTACATTTAGTAAAGAATTATAAGCCGAATAAAATAAAAACATCTGCCCTGAAGATATGGATAGTGCTGATAGATCAACTTCCAGTTCATTGCACCCCGCGACGTCTCCCCCACACACACAGAACAGCGTGAATTGATAAACAGATTTCGGAATGGTTAGATAAACAAAGCATATGCATTTTTCCATTTTTTGCAGCAATTCCACTTTTCGTTTGATGGACATCGAAACACGTTTCCCCAGATTTGTATACCATCAGATCCTTTGGCAGCTCTAGAATCGAAAACTCTTTTTGACATAATCGAAAGTTCAAGCTTACTTTTATAAAATTGCTCTAACAGTCTGCAAAAAATAATAAGCCGGATCCAATTAGAAGATTAAGGAACAATGCAATCTGCAACATTAACTGAAATAGATAATTTTAGCTTAGCTTATACCGTCATTATACGAGGGCTATCCAGAAAGTAGATTACGTTTTGGAATAAAAAAAATAAACAAAGTATAGGAAACAAATTTTATTATATACAGATGAAAGCCACACTCAAATACTACTTTTCTACATAGTCACCATACAAATTAAGGCATTTATCGTAGCGATGTACGAGCTTGGAAATTCCTTCGTCGAAAAATTCGGCCGCCTGCGCCTTCAACCACTTCGTTACCTCTTCTTGCCTTCCATCTTGCACAAAACTTGTGGTAACCAAGCTTTTCACTGATGATTTCGTGCAACAAACTTCGCGAAATTTGTGGAAAACTCAAAGAAAGTTCCGTTATTGTGAAATTTCGATTTTCACGGACTTTTGCATCGACTTTTTCGAGAAGTTCGGCGGTCACTATGCTGGGTCTCCCACTTCGATCTTCGTCGTGAACATTGGTTCGGCCATTTTGAAATCTTATGACCCACTGACGCACTCCACCTTCAGTGATAATGTTGTCCCCATACACTTCACGAAGCTGCCGATAGATTTCTATCGGTTTACCAGTTTTTTGCAGTCAGAAACGAAACCTTATACTGAGCGCAGCTCGCGGGATTTTCAATTAACGCAGACATTTCAAACCGTCACAGTATCTGAACGGAGCACAGCACGAACCTCTCACTAGCACGGCTAGATGCAGACTGAGCTGCGCAACGCTCTGACCCCAAGATGGCCGCGCTAGCCCCGCCCCTAGCGGACACAGACGGAAACGTAATCTACTTCCTGGATGGCCCTCATACATTAAGCGTGCACACGTAAAGGTATTATGCGCATGCGTAACTGCAATATGCGTTTACGCATGTGCAGAAAGTTCGTAGCTTTGAGGTCTGGATTATAGATCATTCCGAATTATGGACGTCCGGATTAAAGACTTTTGACTGTATTAGATTTATATATATCATTGTCCTAACATAAGTATTTTGACACAAAATCGGACTTTTTCTGAAATGACATGCCAATGTTTTTCATATTTCGATTCTACTACTCAAATTATACCTAAATATTAAATTTGGTGCGAAATTTACAGAGAAATTTAAAATTTTTTTTGGCCCATTTTTTTCAGTTTCCACCAAGGATAATTCACATGGTACAAACTTCTTAATTAATAGCAACCTATTTCTCTTTTTTCATTGTAGACGAGCCGGAACAAGTCACTGTTCCTACTTTCAAATAATTTTAACAAATTGAGTAAATCGCATTTGGCGTTATTATCGCTTATAACAAATGTGCCAAATTTCAAAATGTATCAACATGTAAATTCATGTATAACCTAGGAAATTTTAAATAAAAACTCACATTTTCTGCAGATATGTTTAGAAATACATCTGATTTAAGATGATGGTAAAATTTTTATAGGTTATGATTCAAAATTTTTTTCAGAAAATTTATAATTATTTAAAAACATAAATTTTAAAAATAAATCATAAAAAACGGCACATTTTATTTGGAATGAACCTAAATTTTTAAATGTGAAAAGTAGAATCAAATAAATTTAATAAAAAAGTGTTAATAAATGTATACAAGATTCCATATTAACATGGAGGAGCTAAAATTTTGAGAGCTAATTTTTTAAACTACTCTTTCAATTTTTACAAACACTTGGCAGTTTGGCATAATTTGAGTCACAGAATCGAAATATGGAAAAAATTTATATGCTATTTCAGAAAAAGTTAAATCTTGTGTCAAAATACCTATATTAGAACAATGCCTTAATATAAATCTAATACATTCTTAAGAGTTGCTTTCGAGACATGAAAAACGCAAGTTAAATTTCGTCGAATGGCCCAGTAGAACGGGAAATACAGAACTGTCTTCCCCCCCCCTGCAATGCACGTCATGTTTAAAACAGCCACCTCAGTCAATAGCCAAAGTCAAAGATTACTCACCAAGCTTGGTAAATATAATCCCCAGATTTGTATACCATTAGAGATTTTAATTTCAGATTGTTTTGATCACAAGGCTACCTGCGAGATATCACAGATTCAATATTTCATTTCCCTCAAAAGTGTTTAGCATTTTAACTTATTATCAATTAGAAAAAAAGCAGTAATTTTTTGCAAGATTTATAATATGCCACATTTTTTATTTTCATGCTCATTTCTGATCATGTGACATCATTCCAACATTGATTATTTCCTTTTATTTGGCAACTTTTAACTCTCCATGGATTTCAAAATAAGTATTAGGTTCTTGTCATATTGTTCATTCTTCTGGTTCCTTCATTGTTATTTTTCTTCTAAAATATTAACCTAACCATATTTAACTTATCATCAAATGGAAATCAAATAGTGATTTTCTTCCAAGAGCATGGAATTTTGCGCACTGTGTTTAGATATACTTTGACATTAAAATAATATTGCACATATAATTCAAATAAAAAGGTAGTTTCTTTCCAAATTCTTTACTACCCCTCCCCCCCCCAAAAAAAAAGAAACCGTGATGAGTTTTTTTTAATTTATCAGTCAAAAAGTGATTTATTTTCAGTTTAAGTGTTAACAAGTGGCAGGAATTATTCTACAACTTGTCAGACTCTGAGTTCAACTTAAATGCATAAATATATGCCACTGCTGCTTTACATTATCTGTAAATCATTGCACTTGCTTACGTGAGCAAATATGAACCGATTCTCAAAAATAGTCTTTATAGAGAACTTTCTAGAATTTAAAAATCAAATGCATAGTTTTAGATATTAAAAAATGCAGTATATAGGACTGAGTAATGAAATACGCCGGGCTGTCCCATATATATACAAGATGTATGTCATATAACATACAAAATTCTCTAATCCAATAATACCCTTGGTACTAAGGAATGCAGATTATCAGATTTTCAGTACATAAAAATTACTGCAACATGCA